ATGGCCGACAGCTGGTGGCAATTAGCGGCCATCTTGGAGAGAGGAGCAGCAGTCGGTAGTACTCTTACATTCATCTTCTTGATCTTTTATTTCCTTACTTTTCTAAGTTTCAATCATTTTATTTCCTATACACTTCTTGATGTGTATTGATTCTCTTTAAAGTATGAGACTCTGAATCAAACTATTGATGTCCTTCAACAACTGAGACATAATTTTCAAGTTTGTGTTTTATCATATGTTATATCTTTATTTGTTTTATATTTTATCAAGTTATGTTTGCTTTTATCAATTATGTTACTAATTTGGTTACAACGCTATTCATAATGCATACAATTCACAATTACTCAAAATGGTTTTCAATCAAAAAGTGTTAAACAGAATTTTATTTGACTAATGCACTTGCATTAGAAATTGCCTTAGAAATCAAATGGCAGAAGCTAGAAAGAGGGGTCTAGTTCTGAGGAGACATTTTTCCTGTAAATAACAGCAACAGGTTTTTTCGTCTCCTCAGTGAGCAATGGCAACTATCCAATGAAATGACTGAGTGATCATATTTTGGTAAAGATCTTAAGTTTTAACTGTTACAACACCACTGTTTTACATTATCATATATTCACACTGTACAGCACAATATAAATATATAATTTAATGTCACACTTATTCATAATCTCACACTCACATATATATACATCACTAAATATATCAGAAAATTTGGCAGCATTAGTTTATTTGAGTTCACAGGGACGGCAGGAGGAGACCCAGGCATCCTTTGCAAAAGTGTGCCGGTCAAAGCTGGACATCTTTTCCTTCTTCGTTCTTCTGACAGTGCTAGATAGCTGTCTGAAGAAATAATGGGAGCAGATTGTCCGGTCTCACCATAATTTATACGGACCGAGGGTGGGGCCCACACAGCCAGTGGGCGCGGACAAAAGTGTTCAGTGCTGCGCGCGAAGGGTTAATAAACCCACTAGCGATAGCCTTAAAGGGCGAAGCCTATACGAAATAGAACACACAGTTGTTTTGAGGACAGGCAGAACTTAATGACATCTACCTTGAATCTGTGTTGGTCCAAACGGTTCAGAAATTTCCAAATTACATGGCCACACCGATGGAATGTGACTGAGTAAAATCCCCAAGATCTGATCCATTCTGCCCAAAGCATTTGAGTTTGGGTATTCGAGACACGAACCAAGCCATCATAAAGGCAAGCAGCGTGATCGGGTCCAAATTTGCTGCCGACGACTTACTTGATTGTAGATAAAACCAGCAACAAGCTGAATCCAAAAAGTAGGAACCAGTTATCGTAAATCCAATTAAATATGCGTCCTTAGTTTTATAATATTGCTTTCAGATGATAGGTTATTGGTTCTAAAGAAGTTTGTTTTAAAAACAGTGGAATAAATTATCTTTGTGGGGGTTCTATAAATCCTCTTCACACACATTTTATGTAGTAAAAAGTGTACCTGTATCAAATTATAAACATATAACATGGGCCAGTGATACCAGACAATGTACAAACGAAAAGCAGCCCCTAATAAACAAGAACACAGCACATCAAGACATATTAAACTCCCATCGACATACTATTGTACAACAATGACTTGGACAAGCAAAGACTTTTGACCTTGATTTGTGACGTTGAAGCTGTGGGGATTAGTGTGCGTGACACTGTCTAGCAATGGTACACATGCATGAAGTAGCGTTATGTTGAGTGGATCAGAAGTTATGGGCAGGACGGGACAAGGTTTACAGATGGAGACTATGCCATAATACATCCTGCCTTTCAACAGGCAAATAATAAAAATTATGGGATGTAATTAAATTCTAATGAACTATTAAAATCTGGTTGATAATAAATAGGCAGCCATATATGAAATTGAACTTATTTAACCATAATGGTTAAATAGGTTCAATTTCATATATGGAGGAGGCAGAGGAGATTAAAAACATTTCCAAGAGCTTCAGACGAGTCTGGAGTACAAAGAACTGATGCAGGTCTTTGGTTCCTGGTTCCTCTGACAGAACAGGGACTGGGTTCACCTAGAACAGCTGCAGCAGCTCTGCCAGGCCACCACAAAAATCTCCAGTGATATATCCTGATGCATGCTCAATAATCCAGGTAGAAAAATCTAAAAAAGTTAAACCTGGTCCTCTGGACATTCAACAAAACAAAACAAAAAAATTGTAGAAACGTTTTGTCTTTCATCCAAAAAACTTCTTCAGTCTGAGGTGTTGTATTCAGCTCAGTCTTATAAATAGTGCCTTCTCGTAGTGGATCAACCAGTTTGCTGCTGACAACCAAAACCAGCTGCTCACATGATCAAGAAGGACCATCAGCCTAACAATGGATCATTAGTGACTTAATCACTTATGAGCCACTGAAAAGAGATCCAGGAAGTGGCTACAAGAAGTTGCTGATAGAATGGAAGACAACACTCCGGTAGACAGTTACATGCCAGGGAGACAGAAAAGTGGGTGAAGAATTTATCTGACAGACAGCTCACTCAGCCGGAGACAGAGATTCTTGCCAGGGGACTGAACTTTGCGGTTGCACCAAGAAGAATTTCTCTGGTGGAGATGATCACAGCCACTGAGTCAGCCATCCGCAACAACAAAATTAAAGAGTGTGACGCAGAACAGCTCAGAATCAAAGTTTCAACCTGCCTCTGCAATGCCAAACCACCACCTTCCAACATCAGTAGAGAGGGATGCACTCACCACTCAAAAACATCATAATTTTCCCTGCAGACAAAGGAAGGTGCACAGTGATTTTGAACCAGAAAGACTATCGTGAGAAAGTTATGACACTACTTAGTGACTTAACCACTTATCAATCAACCTTTATTTATACAGGTAAATTATGAGCCACTGAAAAGAGTTCCAGGAAGTGGCTACAAGAAGTTGATTGCCTGAAAATTTTGAAGCAGGACAAGGCTATTGACCGTTTTCTGTAAAACAGACTGTACCCAGGGGAGGCCACACCTAATCTGTATGGTTTACCTAAAATCCATAAACAAGGTGTACCTTTAAGACCAATTGTTAGCATGATTAACTCTGTCACTTACGTTTCCAAATATCTGGCGTCTGTACTCATCCCTTTAGTTGGCAGCTCAGAACCCCACATACAGAACACCATTGACTTTGTGGATAAGGTGAGGGATGTTATCATGGAGACTGATGAAACAATGGTCTCTTTTGAAGTCACATCACTCTTTACGTGCATTCCTGTTGATGATACAGTAGAGGTGCTCAGTTTAAGATTAAAATCAGACACCACTCTGAGCAGCAGGACCACGCTTTCCGCAGAACAACTGTGTCAACTCTTGAAACTGTGCCTGCAGTCTACCTACTTCACATTTGGGGAGCAATATTATAGGCAGAAACATGGGTGTGCTATGGGGTCTCCAGTTTCTCCTATTGTTGCCAACCTGTACATGGAGGAGGTAGAAAAGAGAGCCTTGACGTCCTTTTCAGGGACACCACCAAGTCATTGGTTCAGGTATGTTGACGACACCTGGGTTAAAATTAAATCTCAGGAAGTCCAACATTTTACTGACCACATCAACTCTGTGGATAAATACATCAAGTTCACACAAAAAGATGTAAAAAATGGCAGGTTGGCTTTCTTGGACTGTGAGGTCTCAGTCTCTGATAGAGGACATTTGCAAACTGAGGTGTACCGCAAACCCACCCACACAGACCAGTATTTGTAGTTTGACTCCCCTCACCCTTTGGAGCACAAGTTAGGAGTCATCAGGACTCTGTACCACAGAGCAGACAGCGTCCCCACTAACTCGGGAGCCAGGCAGAAGGAGAAATCCCACACAAGACAGGCTCTAGAGCAATGTGGATATCCTAACTGGGCCTTCCTGAAAGCAGAGAAGAAACCCCAAACACGACTCCAGCCAGCCATCAGGTGAAAAGGAGGAACCCAGACCCAGACCAGTGGTCATTCCGTATGTTGCGGGAGTATCAGAGAAACTGACTTTTATTTTCTAAACACAATATCCCAGTGGCTTTTAAACCCCAAAATACATTACGGCAAAGACTGGTTCATCCCAAAGATCCAGTCCCCCGGCACAAACAGAGTAATATTGTGTATGCTGTTCAGTGTCAGGAGGCCTGTGATCAGGCTTACATCGGGGAACAGCCAACTGGCCAAAAGGATGGCTCAGCATAGAAGATCAACATCATCAGGCCAGGACTCTGAGGTTTACACTCATCTCCAGGCCAGCGGTCACTCTTTCAAGGATGAAGATGTTCACATCCTGGATAGAGAGGAACGATGGTTTGAGATAGGAGTGAAGGAGGCCATCTTTGTGAAATCGTCCATCATTAAACAGGGGTGGAGGCCTCCGTGTTCAACTGTCCCCTTCTTACAATGCCGTTATTGCTAGTATCACTCAGCCCTCTGTGAATAGTAAACAGCCATCAGTGTGCTAATGATCCATCGTTAGGCTGATGGTCCTCCTTGATCATGTGTGCAGCTGGTTTGGCTGTCAGCAACAAACTGGTTGATCCACTATGATAAGGTGCTATTTATAAGACTGAGCTGAATACGGCACTTCAGACTGAAGAAGTCTTTTGGATGAAAGACAAAACGTTTCTACAATTTTTTTGTTTTGTTTTTTTGAATGTCCAGGGGACCAGATTTAACTTTTTTAGACTCCAGTGATATTACAGCTAGTCTAAACCTCTTCCACTCATGTCTGGACGTCCTGCTTACGTCTCAGTGTAGGACAGGTGGGGGTACTGGGAACAACTTGGAAACACAAGAACCCATCAAACCCCGTCCCACATTGATTTAATACAAGATTCACAACTTTTGTGTCAAATACAAGACAAATTTGCAGTTTGAGACATATCTGTACTGAAGGATGCATTACAAAAATGTTATGGCTTGTGCCTAAAGCTGTATTTCTGAATGTTCACTTGTCAGAAGGTAAAAATCTAAGTGGTACAAGATGTACATCCTATTATACATATCAATAAACCATGCTCTTTATACAGCCTGGAGGACTTGCATGTGTATTGCACTGACTTCTCAACCATCTCCAACCCTTTTAATCCACAGTCATTCTACAGCTCAGTTTGTGGAGGTCCTATTGTTGAAATAGAAACAAAGTTTAATCATCTTGGAGGTTGATGATGACTTCAAACGAAGGCTCCTCTTGTTCTTCTAAACTCTGTCTGAAGAGCTGGGAGTGCTGCCATGACAGATCACCTTCCCCCCCGCTGAGTTCTGCTACAACGAAGAGCTCTGAGGAGCTAGACCAGCTGGGAAATGACTGGAGTGTCCCATCTGAGGGTTCAAATGCACCAAAGGACATGGTCAGGAGAGGTCATTGCACACATTCACTGCTCTGATAATGAAATTATTCAACTGTACCTCCAGGAAACTCTGCAGAAGACTGGCCTGACTGCAACAGCCAGCAGACTTTCCCAGACTGGAAGGTCTGGCTGTAGGCCATGATGGAGACAGACTTTATTTTCAGTCCTGCTGGAGCAAAATCAAACTTCCATCTAATCTTTCCAACAAGAGAGCCTTCTGTTCTGGCTATATATGCCTAAAACAAACAAACAAACAATCAGAACCTACAACCAGATGTACTTTCTACATACTGTTTTTTACTCATATCTTAACTAATTAACAATCTAAAGGCTGATTGTGTGCAAAGACCAAATTACATTTTGCTGATATTCTATTTTTATTTTATTTATTTAAGTTTTAAAATAAACAGTGTTTTTCTACAAATTGTATTTGTTCATCTTAACATTGATAAGCTTGTTTCATACGTGTCGAAGTAGAAAGAACTAGAACAAAGTTTGTTCTGGTCGGTACATTTCATATTTCACAAGAACAAACACGGACGCAAAAATTTGGGAAAACCTCATAGCTGTTTTCTACATTAACCACGCCCACTTTACATTTCTGACCAATCACACAACAGCTGTCAGACACCACACCAGAGAAAAGGTTCTATCCAGATGATGTGTCGAGAAAAAGCTGCAAGAACTCCCAAACCAGGGCAGTGAGAACAAAAGAACGTTGATTTGTTCTCACAGCTGGGAGAGAGAACTGTTCCCTCGGTTCTTGTGGAGCCTTTAATGTTAGCTGACTTCTTGTTTTTTCAGCAGACACAATCCTCTGAATTATCAACGACATTAAAACTAAGCATTTCTGGAATATTTTTGTCTGACATTTAAAAACTTCTTTTTTAGTTTTTCAAAAACAAAATTACAGCTGAGGTCGTTCAAATTCCATTTACGAGTCTGAGACAAAAAGACAAGTGGTCTGAACGTTTCCAGAGAAAGAGGAGATCAATCAAACATACAATGTAAAGCACAAGCTTTGCTCATATACGTAAGAGTACCAAACTTACCATCTTCCAGTCATTTTCCACTTTTCTGAAGACAGACTCCTTGTCCCACACACACTGGTCCCAGTTCTGGATGGTTTCAGAGCAGCTGGACACTCGGCAGTATTGGTCCTTGGAGGACACGTAGCGGACGTGTAGTAATCGCTCCTTCTTTTCCTTTTCAGTTGGAGTGAACACAAAGGCTGACACCTGAAGCAAATATAGGCACAGACACAAACTCCCTGTAAAGTCTAATTTACATCCAGCTGTACAAACACAAAATTATGAGCCAATATAAGAGAACATGCTGGAGGTTTATTAGATCTATAGGCCTGTTCTGCCTCCGTGTGTAGTTACTGGCAGTGCTGTAATGAATGCTAATGCTAATGCAAATGGAAGTGTTAGTTTGAGACTCAGTGTCAGCTGACTTTAATGGCATCAGGGACTAAAAAGATCTAAATCAGATCATCCTTAGTAATAAACCTATTTCTTTTTAGGGGTTCTGATATTTCAAACTAAAAAGCATTTTTCTATCATGTGCATTGTTGTAAACTTACACTAGCTGTGAAATGTAGACATACACCTACTTTCAACTGTGCAAGACAAACAAAACCAGCTACATTAGACAAACAAAAACAACTATGTTCCATTTCATATGTGCTTGCCTTTTAAGCCACATTTATTGGGACCCACCCGCCCCCCCCTGTGCGCTCAGCGTGCCAACACTGAAAAGAACTTGAGTCCACGCCCACCCACTGTGTGGGCCCAACCTCTGTGCCACCACTCCCCCAACTGCATCCCAGTTGAGGCAGGGGACATTGAGCCCGAGTGGGCCATGTTCCGCACCTGAATTGTTCATTTTTTTCATTCATTCAACCTTTATTTATACAGGCTAGTCTCAATGAGCCACGAGGACTCATTTACAAGAGGGACCTGTTCCAGACAGAACATTCAGAAGGCTGCCTTGAGCTGTGGCCGCAAGGTTGTCACAGTTTCTTGCGGTGGCCATCCTCAAACTCGGTGGTGGACACGGCAGATTAGGGAGGCTGTCAAGCTGAAGGAGTCATATCGGTCCTTGTTGACTGGTGGGACTCCGGAGGCAGCTGAGGATTACTGAAGGGTCAAGCGGTCCACAGCCTTGGCTGTTGTTGATGTAAAAGCTAAGATGTGGGAGGAGTTCTGTGAGGCCTTGGACAGAGTCTTGATAGAATCCGAGGAGATTCTGGCAAACCATCAGATGGCTGAAGAGGGGAAAGCAGCGCTTTACTAACACTGTGTTCAGTGAAGGTGGGGTGCTGTTGACCTCAATCAGTGATGTCGTCGGGAGGTGGAAGGAATACTTTTTGGACCTTCTCAATTCCACCAGCACATTTTCCATGGAGGAAGCTGAGTCAGGGGGACTTCAGGGTTGGTCTGTTCATAACCGTGACTGAGGTCACCGAGGTAATTGAAAAGCTCCACAGCAGCAAAGCTCAATAAAAAAAAACAAAAAAAACTTTATTAATCCCAAAGGGAAATTGTTTGTTGTTGTAAATTGTTATCCTCATTTCATTAAGAGATGTTATAGATGCTGATGGCTGTAGGCAGGAAGGATCTCTTGTAAAGGTCCATCCCACAGTGGATCCTGAGAAAATGGCTGCAGATGCCGCCCGAGTCGTCCACCCAGACTCGGCTGGCCTCTCAGTTTCCCCAGGCTGTAGGACCGCCCGAATGCTGGGCAGAACTCCTCCCATAACGATGGCCACTCCTCCCAGCAGTCTGCCGAGCTCCTTGTCTCTGCGGACAGCCAACTGTAGGTGCCGAGGGACGATCATGTCCTTCCGCTGTCATGAGCCATGTTTCCTACTAGTTCCAGGATCTCAGTGGTCAGGCATTCGAGCACAGCTGGCAGGTAGATGTGAATGGGTCCACAGAACATCCTTTTCAACTCATTTGAGATTCGGGGCTGTAGTTGAGATATTATTTGAGGTTTTGAGATGTTAATCAGCTGATCTGATAGATTCCAGTTTGTAAATGTAAATAATAAATCTTCTTCATACACCAAAGTTAGTCATGGAGTTCCTCAGGGCTCAGTGCTTGGGCAAATACTCTTTACTTTATATATGCTTCCATTAGGTAAAATTATTAAACAGCATGGGATAAATTTTCATTGTTATGCTGATGACACATAATTATATTTGTCCATTAAACCCAATGAATCCAATCAGCTACTTAAACTACAAGCATGTCTTAAAGACATAAAAACCCGGATGACCCTTAATTTTCTCCTTTTGAACACAGACAAGACTGAGGTTTTGGTTTTTGAACCTGAGCACCGTAGGAATGAATTTTTCAGTCTTTCTCCCTCCTTAGATGGCATTAATCTGTCCTCCAGCTTTAATGTTAAAAATCTTGGTGTTATTTTTGATCAGGACATGTCTTTTATCCCCCACATTAAAAATGTTACTAGAACTTCTTCCACATGCGTAATATCAGTAAAATTAGAAACATCTTATCTAAAAATGATGCAGAAAAACTGGTCCATGTATTTGTCACGTCTAGACTGAACTATTGCAATGGTTTATTATCTGGGTGTCCAAATACTTCTTTAAAACGTCTTCAGTTGATCCAAAATGCTGCTGCCAGAGTCTTAACTGGAGTTAGTAGGAGAGAGCATATCTCTCCAGTTTTAGTTTCTCTCCATTGGCTCCCTGTCAAATCCAGAATAGAATTCAAAATATTACTTCTAACCTACAAAGCTCTCAACAACCTAGCTCCATCTTATAGTACAGATCTTATTGTTCCATATTTTCCTAACAGAGCACTTCACTCTCAGGCTGCAGGTTTATTTGTGGTTCCTAGAATTGACAAAAACAGAATGGGAGGAAGATCTTTCAGTTATCAAGCTCCTCTTTGTGGAACCAACTTCCAATCTCTGTCCATGAGGCTGACACATTATCCAGTTTTAAAACTAGAATTAAGACTTTCCTTTTTGCTAAATCCTATAGTTAGGGTCGGCTTGGGTTTCCTGAGCTGTTCCTTAGTTATGCTGCTATAGGCTTAGACTGCTGGAGGACAAACTGACCACACTCTTCACTCTGCTACTGTCTTTACTTACTCTGCTCAACATTTGTAATTATTTTTTTCTATCCTTAACATGTGTGGGGGTTTTTTTTGTCTTTCAGGTACACTTTGCAAATCAAGATGGCCGCGCTCAGAGCAGTTGCAGCCTCACAGGCTCCCGGTACTATCCCAGTTTTTAGAAGTTTTGATATTGACTCTGTGCCTGGCTCCGCACGATTTATGCGTGTGAACTATAGCCGAACCGAACTGATGAGAAAAGGAGCGGATTGGTCACGAAATATTGCAGAAATCAGCAACAAACTCAAAACTACGCTTGGCAGAATGCAGATCTTAAAGTCATCTACCTGGAAGCTGCAGCAGAGGCGTTCCAGCGGGGCAGAAGAGGAAGCGCTGCTCCCGGCTTAAGAGGAGAAGATGCCGGGTAGGGGTTATGATGAGGCTACGAGCTATCGCTAAAGCAGGAAAACTCCCCATGCCATCTCTCTTTCTGTCGAACGTCCGCTCGTTGGACAACAAGATGGATTTACTTCGTCTGAGAGCGGGCGCCTCAGAAGAGATGAAGAAGTATGTGGTGCTTTGCCTCACAGAAACATGGATTACAAGCGAAATGCCGGATACAGTCTTCCAGTCTTACATTATATTATTATTATATTATATTATTACATTATACAGTCTTCTTCAACTGGATGACAGACTCTTTTTTCGAGCGGACCGCTGCAGCGAGCTAACGGGGAAATCACGGGGAGGCGGAGTATGCATTTACGTGAGTAAAAGTTGGTGCAGGAACTGTACTGTTGTAAATAGCTCATGCTCAAAGGCTTTGGAACAAATAACAGTGAAATGTCGACCATATTATCTACCCCGCGAGTTCACAGTGACTTTCATCACGGTCATTCACATACCTTCGGATGCTAATGCTAATGAATCATTGCAGGAGCTACATGATATCATCAGCTCGCTGCAGAACAAACACCCCGAGGCTCTTTACGTGGTAGCCGAAGACTTTAATCACGTGAATCTAAAGGACTGTCTCCCAAACTTTTATCAACATGTGGCAATTCCAACACATGGAGACAACACGCTGGACCGTGTTTACACGAACGTAAAAAGATGCATACAAAGCCGAACCTCGCCCCCACTTAGGACTGTCAGACCACATCTCAATCTTTCTGGCCTCTGCTTACATGCCCCCGCTGAGACACTCCAGACCTTACAAAAGTAAGTTAAATGTTGGATCCAGGACAGTGGCCCCATACTGAGAGATTGTTTGATCGAACAGACTGGCAGGTTTTCAGAGAAGCTGCTGAAAATGGAGGATTACTTGATCTGGACCAACACACATCCTCAGTTTTGGGTTATATTAGTACATGTACTGACACAGTCTCCACCATCAGATATGTTAAAAGCTACCCAAACAGAAAATCTTGGCTGAATGCAGAGGTGCGCACCCTGCTGGGAGCCAGGAACACTGCCTTCAGGTCTGGAAACTCAGAGGAGCTGAGTAGGACAAGGAAAGAGCTGGTTGCTGGTATTAAGAAGGCCAAGGCCACATATGCACAGAGGATTGAGGGTCAGTTCATCTCACAAGAACCTCGGAGCATGTGGAGGGACATTAAGTGCATAACAGATTATAAAGGAAGGAGTGAACAATGTCCCAAAGACCCATCTCTGCCTGATGCCCTCAACAAGTTATATGCACGCTTTGAAGACCTGAACAGACCACCCAGCACCAGACTCACCTCACCACCGGATGAAGAGCATCTCAGCATGACCTCAGCCGAAGTAAGGAGTACTTTCAGGAGGATTAATTTGCACAACCGGCCCAGACAACATCCCCGAAAAATTGTTGAAAGAATGTGCTGATCAGCTCTGCGAGGTGCTGGCAGATATCGTTAACACTTCACTTACCCTGGACAGTTACCACCTGCCTGAATACTGCCACCATCATCCCAGTCCCAAAAAGCTCTACAGTGACTGGTCTGAATGACTATCGGCCAGTGGCCTTCACCCCGATAGTCGCTAAATGCTTCGAAAAACTGGTCACGACTCACATCAAAACAACCATCAACATCAACGAGGACCCTCATCAGTATGCATATCGTGAGAACCGATCAACAGAGGATGCCATCTCCTCTGTGGTCCACACT